TGTGAGGCACTCTAGCAAATTAATCAAACACATTGGAATCTCTGATTTATAACGGATTGGTGAGAAATACAGGTGACAACATGGTTTTGAGATCGGCACCCAAAATGTGTGTTTGGAGGTGGGAGAGGCCGGTCTTGTAGGACTGTGCCCTTGATCTGTGGGATCTGATGCTACCTCCAGGTAGATACATCAGAATTGAGTTGAGTTGTAGGACACCCAGTTGTAGGACATCCCAGAACTGCTTGGTGTGGGGAAAGAATCAGAAGAGGAGACTGCAAAATTTACTCTATATCTTGATGGAAATGAGAAGACAGAGGAACTCAAAGAAAATGACTCATTTACTTGGATTCATTCACCATGAGATGGTGAAATAGAGGAGCTAGACAGTCAATATGGAAGTATGACAGTTTAGTTGAATAGCATGGACCTCAAAGAAGTGGAGATTGTACCAGGGGGTGTAGAAGCAGTGATCTTGGAGTGGCAATAGGAAGCAAGGAGGAGATCCTTGAAAAGTATGCTCTTACACACACACAAAATTCATCTCAGAAGCTTTCTAGATTACTTATTGTCTGTGTGGAGGCAATATAATAGCAGCTAAAGCCTAGATTCGAATGTACAAAATTCCTGGGTTCAAATCTCTGCTTTGCCTCTTAATACCTATGTAACATTAGGCAAGTTACTTAACGTTTCCAAGACTTAGTTTTCTCATCAATAAAGTGGGACTAATTATCACCCTACCTCTCAAAGTCGTTGTTAGGCTTAAACAAGGTTAGTGGTGAATATAATCAGAGTGCCTAGCATATAATAGGCACCTGGTAAATGTTTGCCGCTGTTAACTACATTGCTACTGCAGACTGCTTTATCTTTTGATAATAAAGACAGAAATTTGTTCTACCCCAACTAAGTAGAAATTTCTACTAATGAAAAAGCCCCATTCCAAAAGTATTTTAATTAACTGGAGTTTTCCTGTATACTTTGTGATCCAAACTAATCCTTTTCTGACTTAACCACCCCCAGAAGAGGTTATAACATACAGCAAAAAGTGCCTGGGATCCTCTGAGAATTAGCAGGAGCTAGCCACAGAGGAGACCAAATGGAAATGGGCCGAGCAGTGCAAAGCCCTGGCATCTCCACCCACACATGAGAGGCTTGGACTGCCCGCGTGAAACCTTTCCCAAGTTCTGTGGCAAAATTCCTTTCCCATTCCTGTGAAGCACCAATATCTTAGGGCCAGTCAATTTCTAGGAACAAGTCCAGGTTAAAGGCACAGCTTCAGGGCCTCAGTGCAGCAGCATTAGAGTCCAGCTAGAGAGCTTAGCCAGGAAATCAACTTGAATGCAAACAAGGAAGACAAGCAGTGAAAGTACTGCCATGAGGAAGAAGTGGCAGGGGACCGAGAGAGGGGCAGGCCCAGTTCACTTGGGAGGAAGAAGATGATAATGGAGGGTGACGAGCAGGATTACTCTGGGAACCCCCACCAAACAAGTATTCTAAGCACGCCCTAAAGCAACTCCCCAGTGAAGCTTTGTGTGTTCAGAAACAGACACATCCTACCCAGGGACAATCCCCGCAGAAGGGTGACCTATCATCCTCCTTTGCCTGGGGCTGTCTCAGGTTACAATTGCTGTCCCAGCAAAATTACTAATGGAATCCCTTCTCACTTACAAAAATGTCCCAGCTTGAAAAAAACAACCCTTGATTTCCTAGAGTTGTGGGCTCTTCCAGAAAAGCTGAAATCACTGAAGAGATTCAGAGGCACTCAAGACATTTCTGGCCCACATCAAGAAGAGCCTTAGGAGATAAGCCAATGGGCGATACAGGACAGTGTAACCTCTTGTGCCAGCAGGGAGCTATGATACAGCTAACAATGCAAACAGCCCTCAGTGAAGCTTTATAGTGAGAGCTTCTTCATCAAGAATCATAGCTGGCCTTTGAAAAGTTCCTTAGGCACTTTGAGAGTGTGAGGCCTTGTGATGTGAGTGGTTATCATGAGTTGATATTGAGAGGCATAGGCCACATGTTTGCACGTGGACTGCTGAGGTCAGTCTGGTAGAAAAATTTTCCTAAGGGAGTTGAGTATAAAGAAGCGAGACTCATCTGCCAGGCAATCCGAGTCCGTGGTAGGCATCTCCTGCATATGTTACGTTTAATTGTTTCCGACACTCTGCTTGCTGTCAGAAAAGCAGAGCCTGCATCTGGTTCATGGAGTCTATTTCTTGGCCCAGCCCAATATGCTATGCTTATTATTAAACTAACTTTGATACTCTCATGTGTCCAGGTTGCCAAAAGTCAAACAATCATCCCCACCATTATGACCTTTCATTGGAATAATTCTAATAATTACGTAATGTTGAACACAATTCAGTCCCTGCAATTAGGAGAAGAGGCTGCTGTTGATTCAAAAGGTGAGCTATGTCACTAGAGAATGCAAACTCAGGTATCAGGTCAACAATACCATATTGAACCCATACTTATAAAGGTCTACACTGTACTAAGGGCTGGCATCTCAGTCCTCAAGAAACTTACCACCTAAAATAAGACAAGTACAAAAGTAACTGCAATGCAATATTAACTGGAATGAGAATCTGTTCCATAAAAAGAAAAAAGCTGCTATACTGTAGACTTCATCATGATCATGACTTTTGGGACCCAGTAAGCTAAATGGTCCACAGTTAAAGTTCATGTTTCTTTCTTGTGTTTGGGTTTTCTCACTATGGACAAGAGACAATCTTAAGCTAAAGCAAATTAATAGTGAATATTGACCCACCACTGAATTTTCAGTATGTAAACAAAATGTGATTAAAGTAATGCAGCTTTTAAATAAAGAAACCTATCCAAACACCAGCATCTAATGAATATTTTTCCCTTTAAAGTGATGATTATGAGGGTACTTATTCTAGAAATGCTGTCATTGCTCAAACTGTTTTTGAAATCTTGCTTTAAAATTGGCTTTAAAGCAGCAGACCCGTTCTTTGAAAAATTCTCAATGGATGAAACCTTCATGTGGTGGTGACTGTTTTTTGGAACAATCATAAGGCATGAGGATGAATAACTTATATCTAAGGTGAGCAATCAGAATCAAGTGAAGCTTTATTAGGAAAAGATTAATTTTTTTGTAGTTCATGAAACAGTGACAAGTGATAGGGAGAAAAGTAGAGACTTAATAAGCTGAAAAACATTAGACACAGAACTATTCAGAAGGGAAAATAAGCATGGACTCCCCTGGAACTTAGCATTAAGAAGCTGGAAGAATATTGAGTGCTCCAGCAAAGAAAGCAAAATCTTTCACTTTTGAATGCTTAGTGCCCAACATAGTGAATAGCATATAGTAATCAGCCAATAAATGTTTGAAAGACAAGACTTTAAAAAATCAGTTCCATTATCTTGACAATAATTATGCCTCCAAAGATGTGAAAGCAATGCAGGTAGCATTTTGCATATTAGTCTCCCATGATGTCATTGGTTTGCCATTTCTAGAGTCTCTTGAATGGACTCAAATTCTCAACCTCATGTTTTAATTTAGAAATTGTCATAATTTTAAAATACAAAAAGTGCAAGGAAGAATGTAACAACCACCAACTTAGTCATCAGCCAGATATAACAAATGTTACTGTCCAGCTATTTTTTAGGACTCCAACAGAAAAAATTATAGTTGAGATTCACTAACGTTGTGGTTGGCAGGACCAGGAAAAGATACCAAAACTGCATTTAGAAAATAGTGTCCTTCCTTATCTGGCTGCCTTTGTAACTTTCTTCTTTTTTTTCTATTTGTATAGTCTCCTGATTCTTCAAATGATGCCTTTAAAACTTTGCTTTTACTTTCTGCTTCTCCCTGGCTCTTGGAAAGACTTTTGTAATTTGGTGTTAATGGCATATTTTGGGCTGTAATCTCCATTTTACTTATTTGGAGTACATTTTTCTCCCAAATTTCTCTTCCTTTCCATTCGGTCCAAGCTACAAATAATAATAATTTCCTCCAAACTCCCACCTTGACAGCTCTTTTATGCTCTCCATCTTACTCTCAGCTATGTCCTCCAACCAGACCCTTTAGAATAAAAACAACAAAAAAGCCTCTCATTTTAACAGAGAATCAAGCCATTACGCTATGTTATTTTACTGTATTTAGGTACTATGTTTTTCATGTTCTAATGTTCTATGCTTCTTGGCATCAAAGAACATCGCTTTATTGTGACATTTTCAAATGAAAACTACATGACAGTAACCGTTTCCAAAAAGCTCTCATTTACCTTGGCAACATTTATGAGTGGTGGGGGGAAAAACACATAAAACCACCGCTTTGAGCAAAATGCTACAATGATTATTTAGCAAACAAGCTCACATATTAGAACGGCAGAGGGAAGATTGCTTCTACAGACTAAATTACACTTTACACACAGGCGCTGCTGAATGGCTTTCTACAGAGGTTGCATTTAAATTACAGCTCTTGCTAAGCAAACATCTCGCGGTTTGTGTGTGAATTTGAATTATGCATTTCACAGGCAGCATGTTTATGGAAAAAAGTCAAGCCGATAGATTGCTAAATTGCTACAACATTTCTAAGGGACAAAAATAGCTGTGGTGTCGGACAATGAAGAAGCTTTGAGAGAGGTCCCGAAGACTCTCCAGTAAGAAAATGATTTCGCAATTCTGGCCCACAGTGAGTGAGCAACCTTTGGCTTCATTCAGAAGCATCCAAAAATTGCTTTAGTGCTTTCTCTTTAGAAACATAATTTGCTACCTTATGCTTGGAGATTCTGAATTTGGAAAAGCACATTGTATGACCTCCAGTTTTAATTCCTAGAAATAAGGGAAAATCTATATGAGCTGTCCTAATTCAGGGGAAATACACTGTTAGGCAATCGAAATAGGCAAATTAAGTAAGAGGACAACATCAGGGAAAGAATGACCTAAGTAAAGAGCATTCAACCTTTTCAGAATCTGCCAAGTTCCCACATACATTCTGGAGAGCATTGAGTATACTGTGACAGAATGCATCTTACCTGGATCCGTGTGAGTGCATCCTTCACAAGGGGGAGAGGAGGGGCAAAATGGTATTCACATTCCCATATGACTCCAAGATCGTGTGATTCTATTGCTGGCACATTATGCATTTATCTATCAATAGTCCTTGGGAATTTTGTGATCTTTCATTTCTTAAGATTTGCAACTCTTCTGCATGTTGGAAATGCAAGTTGAGTTTCTGCTGCCGTAAGCATAGGCTGACCACGGAGGAGTGTGGTGGCAACAAAGTTTCAATCCACTCACCAGAGAAGAAACATTTCTCCTAGTCCCCAGTGCTGCCTGGGTAAAGAAGATGAGGAAGAAGAAAGTGCTGACTGACATCCTATACAGGCCAGCAAAGAGCTCAGAAGAAAATAACTGGGGAAAATCAAGCTATAGAACTCCTGCCATTTGATGGTCCAGAAAATTCATAAATGCATCCAATTAGACTTCCATATATATGTGTGTGAGTGTGGAGCTATAGGTTTAAAAGGGGGCTGCACAATTGCATTTATATAATATTCTTCAAATGACAAAATCCTAGAGATGGAGAACAGGTGAGTGGTATCCTGAGGGTGTGTGGGGTAGGGGGAAGGAGAGGGAAAAAGGTGTCTATGGCTAGAAAAGGATCCTTTTGGTGATGAAACTGTTTTTATCTTGACTGCGGTGATGATACACGTGTGATAAAATTACACAGAAGTGCTTATGGGTTGAATTGTGTCCCCCAAAAAGATATGTTGAAGTCCTAACATGTAGTACCTCAGAAATGTGACCTTATCTAGAAATAGAGTTACTGCAGATGTAATTAGTTAAGAGGAGGTGATATTAGGACAGGGTAGGCCCCTAATTCAATATGACTGGTGTCCTTATAAGAAGAGGAAAATTTATACCACATCTTCTTTATCCATTCGTCCCTTGATGGGCACTTAGGTTGTTTCCAAGTCTTGGCTATTGTGAATAATCCTGCAATGAACAGAGGGGTGCAAATATCTTTTTACATTCATGTTTTCCTGTTCTTTGGATAAATACCCAGAAGTAGAAGAGCTGGATCATATGGTAATTATATTCTTAGTTTTTTGAGTAATCTCCATACTGCTTTCCATAGTGGCTGCACCAGTTTGCAATCCTACCAGCAGTGGATGAGGGTTCCCTTTTCTCCACAACCTTTCCAAGACTTGCTATTTCTTGTCTTGTTAATTATAGCCATTCTGACAGGTATGAGGTGATATCTCATTGTAGTTTTGATTTACTTTTTCCTATAATTAATGATATGGAATATCTTTTCACATGCCTGTTGGCCATCTGTATATCTCCTTTGGAATAATGTCTGTTCAGATCCTTTACCCATTTACACAATGGAATACTACTCAGCCATAAAAAAAGATGAAATCTTGCCATTTGTGACCACATGGATGGACCCTGAGGGTATTAGGCTAAGAGAAATGGGTCACGTGGAGAAAGTCAAATGCAGCATGATTTCACTCATAAGTGGAAAATAAAAACAACAACAACAACAAACAAACGCATAGGTACAGAGATTAGGATGGTGTTTACCAGAGGGGAAGTGGGAAGGGAGGTGGGAGAAAGGGATGACAAGGCACATGTGTACAGTGATGGATGGTAATTGGGTGGTGAACACGATGTAGTCTATACAGAAATTGAAATATATTGATGTACACCTGAAATTTACATAGTGTTATAAACCAATGTTACCTCAATTTAAAAAATTAATTAATTTTTTTTAAAAAAATAGGAAGGAAATTTAAACACATGTGCACAGAAGGAAGATGGTGTGAAGACACAGGAAGAAGAGGGGCACGTGATGACAGAGGCAGATATTGGAGTGATGCTGCCACAAACCAAGAAGTGCCTGGGGCTTCCAGAAGCTGGAAGAGGCAAGGAAGGATCTTCCCCCTAGAAGCATTGGAGGGAGCATGGCCCCACCGAAACCTTGATTTTGGATATCGAGCCTGCAGAACTACAAGAGAGTAAATTTCTCTTGTTTTAAGCCCCCAAGTTTGCTCTACTTTGTTACAGCATCCCTAGGAAACTAAAACACAGCTAAATACACACACATACACAAATGAATGCATTTCAACCTGTGAAATCTGCTAAGTTCAATGGATTGTCTCAATGCCAGTTTCCTAGTTGTGATATTCTACTATAGCTATGCAAGAGTGAATGTTGGAGGAAAGTGAAAATACACAGGATCTCTCTACATTATTTCTCATGACTGCATGTGAATTGTCCCAAAATAAAAGTATGAAAAAGAGGTCTGACTTCAAGTACGTTGGCTCCTCAATATATCCTCAGGAAGCTAAATCAAGCCTAGTTTAAAAATGAAAAAATTGGGGCTCAGGGAAATTAAGCAAATTTTGAAAATTCATAAGGATACTGAGAAATTCAGTTCTTGAATCTCCAACTTGCAAACCGCAATCCATCTTGTTTTGCTATGCTATGATCTTCTTGTGCATAACTCAATTGTTTAAATTCATTCAAGATGACAAAGATTTCAAACTGAGAGGGGGGATTTCACACAGCAACAGAAACAATATAAGGATGCTGAAGAGACAGCTGGCTCCAAGGCTGGTCACTGAAAAGAGGCATCATCATAGCCCATCTGGCCAATTTTCTTTTACAGAGAAAAGGAGGGAAAAGTTGGCTACCTTGGGCATAGGTCACATGAAGTTCCCTCAGAAAACACTGGCTAGATTAAGACAGGAAGCTGTAAGAAAAAAAAGAAGCCATATGAATCGAAACATCTAAAGTTTATTCACCATCAAACCCCAGGGCACTAGCAGTGCTCACACAAGCTATCACTTCTTAATTGCATCCAAAAGCGTCAGAAACGGGGAGCGATTTGTGCTGGGCACAAATCTGTGCTGGGCAGCCACTGTGTGGGCCTCTCAGGGAGCCGGGCGGTTTATACGAAGTGCAGAAGACACAGAAAGCAGCAGCAGCTGGACCACAATTCTGGAGATAAATGACTCAACAGATGACAACTCTCCCACTTCTTGCCTGGGCTTAACAGGAAAATGGGGAGAAAGGCACCAAATTATGTTTAGGTTCATGTGTAAATCAGACGTAATAGAACAAGGACTACAACGATGCTGGTTATCTTGAATTAACAAGGATCTTTTTATAGCCAAAAAGTTTGATAGATTTGGAAAACTCAGATTAGACGATTTAGAGCAAATGGATCAGGAAGACGGAAATGGAAAAACATTTCTCCCAAGGTGGATACGGAACATCAGGATTACAAGTTCTCATAAACCAGAGTTTGAGAAAACCTTTTTGGTCTCTTGGGTTTCCGTAGCCATCATCTAACCGCTCTGTTTGAAGTAGGGGTTTCATTGAATGACGATTCAGTTCTGCTGATCAGCTCTCTGCTCCGGGCAGAGGAGAGAAGCTGTTCAGATGCAGTCTGCAAATATTGAACTGGCAGAGGCGATCCACAACAGGTTCCTATGGACATTTATTTTCTCCCTTTAAGGAAGCCCCTTTATTTTCCTGTAATTGTATCGGGTGAGAGGAAATGCAGAAGTAAATGGAACAGAAGCCAATCTGAATCTTTGCTGGCAGGCTTATTGTTTATTGACTGCTAGGCTACCTGCCCTGAGACAAATATAATTATGGAGCAATCATCCTGTGTTCCCCAGGGAAAGAAAAAAAGATCCAGGGATATATTGTGTCCTGCTGTTTAAGTTTACAAAAACTGTAAATTCAGATAGTCATAGTCACAGCATTAAAAAAGAAACTGGGCAATTATATGTGTTTCACTGAGAATTCAGTTGTTATTTTATCTTATACACCAGTATTTCTCAAAATTTAAAGGGCAAGTGGATCACTGGAGACGTTGTTAAAGTGCAGATTCTGATTCAGAAGTTATGGGGTAGGGCCCAAAGGATTCTGTGTTTCTTCTTTTTTATAGTTTTTTAAAAATTTTTAATGGCTTTATTAAGGTAAAATATTTTGTTGACATACAAACATTGTATATCTTTAACTTGTACAACTTAATGTTTTGATGCATATGCATTATGAAATGGTCTCCACAATCAAGCTAATTAATAGATTCATTGCTTCCACATAGTTAACTTTCTCTTTTTTATTGTTTTTTTTTTTGTCATGAGAAGACTTAGCAAATTCCAAGTAAACAATACAGTATTGTTAACTACGGTCACCATGCTGTACATTGGATCTCAAAAACTTATTCATCTTGCATAACTGAAACTTTGTACCCTTCAACCACCATTACCCCATTTCCCTCTCCCCCAAGCCCAGTCCCTAGCAACCACCATTCTATTCTGTTTCTATTCTGAGTTTTACTATTTTAGATTACACACATAAGTGAGATCATACAGATTTTGCTTTCTGAGTCCAACTCATTTCACTTAGCATAAGGTTCATCTATGTTGTTGCAAAAGGCAGGATTTCCTTCTTTTTAAAGGCTGGATAACATTCCATTTTGTGCGTGCATGTGTGTGTGTGTGTGTGTGTGTGTACGTGTGTGTAGACAGAGAGTGAGGCGGGGGAGAGAGACAGAGGAAAGAGAAAGGAGCAAATACAGCAAAATCTTAACAGTTCTTGACTCTAGAGGTATACATATACACCACGTTTTTATCCATTCATCTATTGACCGCCATTTAGGTTGTTCCCATATCGTGGCTACAGTGAATAGTGTTGCAATGGATAGTGCTGTATTCTCAGACCACACTTTGTGTATCGAGGTTCTGGTGCACAGTATCTGGGATACAATTCAAGTGTACAATCACTGTTTACAAGAGAGCTGTGGGAGTCTGCTTTCTTTCTCAACTAGGTCCTTTTGTTTTCTCAATTTTATCATGAACATGAAACATACACAAAAGTTAGGAGAATAATTCAATGAACCTGTATACCCACCAACTAGAGTCAAGAACTACTAAATTTTTGCCATATTTACTCACCCTTCTCTTCTCTATGCCTCTTTCCTCCCCCCTCGCATATATATTTATATATGTGCATATATACCTATACACATATGTTCTCCAAACCATATAAAGTTGAGGATATCATGACACTTCACCTGTAAATACTTCATCATCACCTCCTAAGAGAATAACTTCAATGCAATTATTCCATTTCAGAGAGTAAACAATAGTTCCAATACATTCTATATAATTCCAGTAATTCCATAACATTTACTAATAGCCAATCCATTTTCAAATGTTTCCAATTGTTCAAAAATGCCTTTTATAACTATTTTATAAGACAAACAAAGATCTGATCAAGGTTGAAGCATTTCCCTGGTTGTTACAGAGCTCAATTTCATCTTTTATTTTTCTTCTCCATGACATTGACTTTTTGAAAAGTTCAGACCGATTCTCTTTGAAGATGTCTCATAGTCTATATTTGCCGAATTGTTTCCTCACCATGTTTTGAATTTTGACTTTAATTGAAAATTATGCTTAGACAATTGAAGGACACATTCACGTTAAACATTTGTAACAAGTTAAATATTTTTGGCAAGTGTACCTCATAGGTGTTGCATGCTTCATATTG